GAATACTCTGCTGAAATATCTGGCTTGTGCTGCACAACTCAGAGTGGACTATTGAGGAAGACTCCAAATTCTTCATTGAAGAATTCCATACATTTTTTTTAATGTTACTCACATGAAACATTTGTCCCATCTTCTTCAGGGATGACTAATATCTTTTTCTGCTATCCAGGGTGGTTTTGGGGTTTTCCCAAACCCCAACAATTGTTCGTGCCTACTGGAGTTTCTTCAGGTAATCCTTGATTTATGACCACAATTGAACTTAAACATTCTGTTGCTAAGTTAAAGTAGTTAAGTGAGTTTTGTCCCATTTCACAATCTTTCTTGGCAGAGCTGGTAAGTGAATCACTGCAGTTGTTAAAGTCAGTAATGTGATTGTTAAGTGAATATGGCTTCCCATTCGATTTTGCTTGTCAGAAAGTCCCAAAAGGTGATCCAAGACACTGCAACTGTCATAAATATGAGTCAGTTGCCAAGTGTCTGAATTTTAGTCACATGACCATGGCAATGACCGTGTAACAGTTGCAAGTGTGAAAAATGGTCATGTCACTTTTTTCAGTGCCATTGTAACTTCAAACAGTCCAACCTGAAAATTTGGATAAGAAGCTTGATAACATAATTGTGGTTTTAAATCAACTTGAAGATGGCAATCAGACTTAAGTAACAGCACTACAACAAGTTTTACAACTAGAAGGATTGGAATGTAATTTGCTGCTGACAGATCTGAAAGATGAGGTTGACTTGGAAAATACAAGTTGGTTAGAGGGCTCCAAGAAAGGTATGGATTTTAAAGACTCGACATGGATAGAATTGACCAGTGAGGAACTCAACTTTTTCAAAAAGATTGAGGGAGATTGGGGAATGGATTTATTATACCCAATTGGAAAACAAATGTTAAGAGATGCTATGTAACAACTTGCAGGAGATGTTTTGGTACAGTAAATGCTGTGGAGATGGTACAAAACAGAGACTTATGACTTTGGAGAATAAAATCCAACTGTTAGGAAAGATCCCACTTAATAGTATAAGGAAAAGCTTTATTATTAAGAACCAGTCAAAGGTATTTGATCCAGGATGGACCAGAGACAATGATCGTCATGACTTACGGTAGATCAGAAACCGTTTGAGACTTTCTGCAAGTGAAATAAAATAAACAGACTGTTAACAGGGTTTTTTGAAGTTTAATTTAGCTGTTGGTTTTAGCTGTTAAGTATGTTTCCATATAGTAGATAGTTGTCAGTCTGAGTGGGGTAAACAGTGTGGTAAAAACTTATAAATTGTGTGCTTGCTTCGCAAGGGGCGACAAGTTGTTATCTTTGAAATATATTTATCAGTATTCAGCAAGAGTTGGTTTTTTCGTGTAGTTTTGTGTAGTTTTGTTTTTTTTCTTTTTTCTTTTTTGGGGAGTTTATATTTTAACGTTTTGAATAAAATAAATTGATGTTAAAAAAATACTCAATGCTTTCAGATAGCATCTGTGCTAAGACAATTGGCTTTTGTGTACCTGCATGTACATCATACAGCTATTTTAGTCTGGCAACATTCTGCCTACTAGTTTACTGTAACTTGTTATATCACACAAATGCTAAAATATGTTGGACTTAGTAATGTAGGAAAAAGTAATTTGGCATTCACTCTTCTGTCACTATATTGTGTGATTGGAGCAGGAGCTCATTAATGTTTAGGAATGTTTGACATCAACAACTCTTGTTGTTCTGCATTTTATTAGTGTTTGATAATAGCTATATTCCTCTTTTCCATTGATGCCCTCAGTAGTCTATTGAGAAATCACCAAAACTTATATATGTTTCCTTTTCTATCTAGCTTTGATAAATCCTGTCCTCTATGGAATATGATAATCTGGTTGTATAGTGTTTTTGCATGAATTTCTCTTTGTGAATCTTGAAAAAAATAAGTAAAAAACAGAATACTGATCTTGTTAAGGAAAGGGTGCAGCTTTGAAACAAGTTTGGAAAATAAATCACAGTTCTGGATAACAAATTATTGACTGTAAACAGTGCATAATCTATGTACCCAAATCCCTGGCTGCATTGTGCCTCCTATTGTCTTGTGGCTAGCAATTTCAGAGAGTTGAAGATAATCCTGGCCACTCATTCTTCCAGAATGACCTTATGCCTGCAGGTACTTGCACCCTGTTATTGTGGAGGCTTGCTTCCCTATGCCTTCCCTAGTGAAAACAAGTGTTTCCCAAAGCTTGCTTTGCTTTGGGAATGACTGTGGTTGATAGAAGAACTCACAACTGGCTGAGTTGTGCAACAGGTTGACTCAGAAACCATTCAGATAGTCCTTGAATTTCATCCATTCATTTAGTGACCATTCAAAGTTACAAGGGCATTGTAAAAAGTGACTTGGTCCTCACACTTAAAACCCTTGTGGCAACCTGTCTGGAGGTTGTGGGGGGTCTGGATAGGGTAGAATAGATTTCAGCTGAACTGTGGTAAGATGGAGTGGCTATGAGGGGGGGGAGTTCTCTGTATCCAGGGGTATCATACTTGGTCTCAGATAGGGTTGCATTGCCTAGACAGACACAGTGCAAATTTGAGTCGAGGATGACAGCGCAGTCATTCTGCACCCAACCTCTGCTTAAAGAGCAAGTGGCAGTTGTGGCTAGGCAGACCTTTGCTCATCTCTTTGCTGTGGTTCAGTTACACTCCTTCCTAGAGTGTGAGGTTTTGTCTTGGTCACTCATGCCTTGTTCATCTCCCATATGGACTGTTCCAATGCTGTACATGGGGCTGTCCTTGAAGCAACAGCTGGTATAGAACGTGGGCTCAAGGATGGGGCATGTAACATGTTTGCTATGTGAGCTGCATTGGGTGCCAGTTTGCTTCTGGGTCCAATTGATTATTACCATTGAAGCCCTGCATGACATGGGGTCAGGTTATCTGAGGAACTGTCCTATCAGTGGTGGGATTCAATTTTTTTTTACTACCGATTCTGTGGGTGTGGCTTGGTAGGCGTGGCAGGGGAAGGATTCTGTAGAATCTCGTCAGAGGTGGTATCTGCCGGTTCTCCGAACTACTGAAAATTTCCGCTACTGGTTCTCCAGAACTGGTCAGAACCTGCTGAATATCCCCTCTGCATCCTACCCTCATCACACTGATCCATCCCATCCAAGCAGGCAGGGTAAGGATGTTAGAGACTTTGTCAGTTAAAGAACTTTGACTGATGGGTCCAGGAAGGAAACCTCTGCCATTGCCTTCGCCGTATGGAACATCTTTCCCCCAGAGGCAAGATGGACCTCCCCCACTCTTTCCTAGCCTTTAGCAAAAGCATGAAGACCTGATTGTTCCAACTCACGTGGGGCTCAATGTGGGCATGCAATCCTAGGCATGGTTAAGCATCTTGAAGAAACTCCTGCTGCCTTTTTATTTTTAACTTTTTTTAATCCTTTTTTTAAAATGTGCCTTCCATTTGACTGAACTTGGTGTGTATTGTGTTTTTATGCTTTTATGTGTAAATTTCCCAGAATCCCACTTTATAATACAGGAGAAAAGTTATAAAAATTAATACATGATATCATATACAATATAGAAATGCAGAATCATTTAACAAGAAAATACACAGATTTAATTGAAGAAAATTAGCTTTTATGTAAATTAGAAAAATGACATCAGAGTTTTGCTCAAGTGGTTAGATCTGTACAATTTACAATTTTACGTACAAAATGTATAATAAAATACAATCACTTCCTGAGCATTGATTTTACAGATGTTTTTATTTTCCTCAAATTAATAAATTGGACTATCAGAGTCATCTGAACATTCATTTTACTTCACTTAATATTGAGTTGCCAGCATAATTTTAAAAATACTGTAATGGTTGCAGAATTAACACCTAGATATCTATATAAAATAGATTTCATTTTCAGTTAATTGTGATTGCTTATAAAATGAAATCCTTGGTGCTCTTTGAATTTGGTTGCAATTTTGTTACCAGGTTTTTTGTTCTTATAATTCAAACTGCAGTTCAGTTCAGATAAATTTCACTTTTTAAAAAGTAACCCATTCCCATTAGAATCTTTGATATTTGAATGCATGATTGTACATCAATGTTTCAAGACTACAAAATGATTATAATAAATAATGTAATGCCTCATATGGTGGTACTGCCTCAAATCATTTTCATACTCTAAAAAGATATGTAAGTCTCAATGATCTGCTTGGCAGGATATATTTAAAATTTTAAATGTCCCATTAGAATCAAATAAAATGTATTGATAGTAAAAAGTCCCATTGATATAATCATAAACAGATGTGCTTAACTTTGGATATATATTCAAAACTACAGAATTTATAAGTGCATTTTCATCATAAAATGTGTAATTGCTCCACAATTCATTGGTAAAGCTATAAATTATAATTTAAAAGTTGGTTTTAGTTACTCAACACTAATTTTATGTTTCTGTAGATTTCAAGAATAATCCTTTTACTTAATTAGGTTGTGACTAAATTAGCGTAACATTGTATTGAACTGCAAAGAATTTTGGGATTAAATTTACAATTAAAATGGGACAGCAAAATTAACTATTTAACAATTTTTAACAAACTAGTCAGATTAAAAGAGCTAGCCATGTACTTTGTGTCATTAATTCTAGCATGTGGGGTAATTTTTCCTACTTGTCATCTAAAATGTACAGGCAATGCACTTCATGGAGCCAAAAGTGAATATAAGTAGTTCCTTTGGGGTTTTGTTTAAAATTTCATACCAGACAGTTACAAACACACACAAAAATCATTACAGGTAGTCCTTGACTTACAGCCATTTGCTGTAAGCTGTGGTGGTGCAGTGGTTAGAATGCAGTATTGCAGGCTAACTTACTGCCCACTGCCAGGGTCCTGACTGGCTCAAGGTTGACTCAGCTTTCCATCCTTCCAAGGTTGGTAAAATGAGGACCCAGATTGCTGGGAGCAATAGGCTAACTCTGTAAAAGCCTTAGAGAGGGCTGTCAAGCACTATGAAGTGGTATATAAGTGCTATTGCTATTATTATTGTTTAACAACCATTCAAAGTTACAATAGTGTTGAAAAAAGTGACTTACAACTGATCCTCAGACTTACAACCATCACAGCATCCCTATTGATCAAAATTTGGGTGCTTGACAACAGGCATGTATTTACAGTGGCTGCATTTCTGGATCATGTGATTTCCATTTATGACCTTCTCGGGGGCTTCCAACAAGCAAAATCAACAGGGGGGGGGGGGAAGAGTCAGGTTTGCTTAGCAACTGTGACAACCATGGCAAAAATGTTGTAAAATCAGGCGCGCCTCATTTAACAACAGCATCACTTAGCGATGAAAGTTCTAGTCCCAACTGTGGTTTGAAGTCGAGGAATACCTGTAGTATCAAGAAACAGCAATGGATGGGAGCTTCCCTAGGTCGGTGTTTGTGCCAAGATTCAAGACTGAAATAAAAGTGGTTTTATTAATATAAGTATATCAAGATGTTAACACATTTAATGAAGTCTTCAATATATTTTATTCACTAGCGTTGTAATATGTTGTAAATAAAATTAAGAAAATTGCAACTTTTTTTTGAAAAAAAATCTTGTAATATATATTTTAACAACTGAATTGCCATCTTCTTATTGGGGATTGTATTTGCAAACAGATAATGTAACTGGTACTATACTTTTAGTTCAGGAGCTTCAGCAGTAAAAGTTGTAGCAGGTATTGAGTCAATTAGCTGAGGGATAGGTAGATGGGTGCATGGGTGCACGGGTGCACCACTTCTCTGGAACTGGAGCTTTATTCAAAATTAAGTAATGCATAAAAGAAATGAAAACAAACATCTCCATGATAAAACTGTGGGAAAACCCACTTTTCAATCTAACCAGGGTGCTTAAAGATTTAGAAGCCTTTTTCACAGAAAGTTAGTCTTTAGTTGAATACTTGAGCCTTTCCCAGGATTCTTTGGATGCTTAGATGTTGACTTATCCTTGATGCTTTCTTGATTTCCTTTTACGGCTGACTCAAGTCTTGCTTTCATGGATGGGGAAGAAGCCATTGATTGTTTAAAGGCTGACGTATACTGTGGACCAATCTGCATCAGATAATGCAAAGCAAACTCATGAAGATACTTTGCTGAACTTGAAACTGATCCTAGGGCGTTTTCATCCAAAAGAAAAGATATGAGGATAGGAATAAAACAAGCCACTAGCTGACTTCCTGTGAAAATGGAAAAAGAACGATTTATTCAGCAATGATAAATAGCACCAGTTTCATAATTACTCATTTTTAAATTTAACTCTTAAAATGACTATACCAGAAACTCGATATCATTTGATACAGTGGAATGTACTTTTCAACAAACAAATAGGCTTGCTTGCTTAATTAATTGTAAATAATTAACATTGCTTTAACTTGCTATTTAGAATGTTACGGTATTCTAGCTGTAAGTAAGCAAGAGATTTTCCAATGACGAAACCCCATAACTTCTGCCTGTTTTGGGTCTGTACTCTTATTATGACTATCTTACTACCATTTCTTCATGATATTATGAACAGACCAAACACATGCACACATTTGCAAAGAGTATTTTTATGTCAAGAATTTTTTTTCCCAATTTAGAATAGAAACTTTATTGTCACTTTTTAATGTACACTAATCAGCATACATTAAAATGAAATTTTGTTGCATTCAGCTCTCAAAAGATAACCATTATGCATATATCCACATATATGACCCAGAGAAACATCACATTCTAGTATACATATACATGGTGGGAGGGGAAAAGAATCCTGAGAGTTTACAAGATGGATGGGATTAGGAACGAAGCCTACAGAATCTAATAATCCTGCTATAGATAAATTCACAAAAGCATTGGAAGCAGTTTTAAATCTAAACTGATGCATTAAAAATATTTGATTCTAGCTGTAGTCTACAGCTACATACATACTCTCCCATGGATGCAAACGTTCAGTGACTTCAATAAAATTGATCTATTTAAAATCAATAACAAGGGCAAAATTAAGCTATGCTTCTCAGAATAATAATTCTAAGCAAGGGACAAACAACCTGAGGGTCCCGTATCACTCAATCACAGCTAAATCACACATATGTTTTTGGCAAAACAATTTTAACATAAGAACCCTTCTGCAATCTGCAAGGTTCTATTATTTTCTCCTAAAATGCCTTCAAATGCTGATCTTCTTATAGAGCAGGGCTGCCAAACTCGCGGCCAATGGGCTGGATGCGTCACATGCTGTCCATGCCCATACCCAGTTTTAGTGAAGGGGAAAAGTCCTGATACGTCATGTGATGTTGCCAGACGATGCGAGTTTGACATCCCTGTTGTAGAGGGTAATGGCATACCAGAGCAGAAAGGCTAAAACAATGCCACTAACTAGAAATCAGATAATATTAACAGTGTTTTGTAGGTGGGACAATTGGAAGAATATGCAAAGAACACTTACGATGCTCTTCCTCAGCAAGGGCTATAACAGCAGCCACTACCTTTATTCCTTCTTGAATAACTTGGAGTTCAGCAGAATTCTCTGGTTTATTTTTTTCTGTTTCTTGTAGTTTGGCCACTACTGAAGATATTAATGAATGAATGTAAGGATATGAAACAGCTGGATTGGGACACTGGAAAATGGAAAGGAGCAGCTGATAGCATTTAAGTTGTACCTAAAAAGAAAGAATTTTTTAGAAAGATAGTCCATTCAAATGTAAAAAACAAGTTAAACCTGCCACCGTGAACTGTTATTTGTATAATTACTTTATGCACCAGTTTCTATAAGTTGGTTTAAAGCTAATTTAGCTAAAGTTAAAATCCTGAAGTTAACTCCGAAACTTAATTACAGAGTCTCCTTTTAGATAGATAGATAGATAGATAGATAGATAGATAGATAGATAGATAGACAGACAGACAGACATAAAGAGGACATGGCAGAGGAAAGAAGAATTAATGATGGTGATATTGTCAGGTACCAACATAGGCTAGCTCCAGAATCTCCCCCCCCTTTTTTCCCTAACTGTATAAATTAGAAAAGACTATTTGCTTAAGGACACCATACATCCTCAATAAAAGTACCAATGCTGAGATTTTTATAAATGCCTTCACAACAAGAGGAAGAACATATAGTCTTGGAGCCCAAGATAAGCATAGGTAAGGAAGTTTATACTGCGTAAGGAAAGCTTCCTGCCTTGCATTTCCCCCCAAACCTGAGAATCATTCCTGAACAATATGGGATGAAGCAATTGGAGCTGCTAGATGGGGGAAAGTCTGCAGAAAATTTCCATTTGCGAACTTCCTTATGTTAGAAATCATACTTTTCACTCCAAAAATTCAAAAAGGTGAAGCAATATTTTTAGACATAAGAATGTCAACTTCTGTGAAGATCCCAAGTTCTCTTGATCAGACATTTCAGATTTCCCAAATAATTTGTCAGGATTGATGCAATTCCAGCACATATTGACTATATAAAGTAGAATCAAATTCTAAACAGGCTGATTCAGGTTTTCATTAACAAAGCTGTGGGATAATAACAGGATGGAATCATAGAGGATCATTTACTCTACTGTCATCCCTCTCACTTTCAATGGTGGGAAGCACATGCTTATTCAGTGAAAAGAGCTACAGAAAAACAGAGTTGGAAGAGGCAGATAACAGATAACAGATCATCAGAGTTGGAAGGCACCTTGTAGGTCATCTAGTCCAACCCCCTGCCCAAGTGGGAGACCCTACACCATTTCTGACAAATGGCAGTCCAATCTCTCCTTTAAAGTCTCAAGTGATGGCGCTCCCACAACTTCCGAGGGCAAGCTGTTCCATTGGTTGATTGTTCTCACTGTCAGAAAGTTTCTCCTTATTTCCAGGTTAAATCTCTCCTTGTTCAGTTTCCATCCATTATTCCTTGTCTGGCCTACAGGCACTTTAGAAAATAGCTTGACCCCTTCCTACCTGTGGCAGCCCCTTAAATATTGGAAGACCTCTATCATGTCTCCCCTGGTCCTTCTCTTTACTAGACTAGCCAAGCCCAGTTCCTGCAACCGTTCATTGTATGTTTTAGCTTCCAGTCCCCTAATCATCCTGGTTGCTCTTCTCTGTACTTTTTCTAGAGTCTCAACATCTTTTTTATAACGTGGTGAACAAATGAATGCAGTACTCTAGGTATGGTCTTACTAAGACTTTATAGAGTGGTATTAGTACCTCACTTGATCTTGATTGTATCCCTCTGTTAATACAACTTAGGATTGCATTGGCTTTTTTGGCTGTTGCTGCACAAAGCTGGCTCACATTTAGCTGGTTGTCCACTAAGACTCCAAGATCCCTCTCACAGTTACTGCTATTGAGCCTGGTTTCATCCAGTCTATAATGTGTACTTTTGGTTTTTCTTGCCTAAGTGTATAGGACTTCACTGTTGAATTTCATTGAATTTCATTTTGTTAGATATGGCCCAGTGTTCTAGTCTGTCAAGATCCATCTGGATCTTGAGCCTATCTTCTTGGGTGTTGGAAGGCCTTCAACCCTCTGGTCAGGCAGGAAACCCTATTCCATTAGGACTAAACATGAGCACATAGCAGAGGAATGGTAGCAAATCTCAACACAAGTTTAAGTTGTACTTACAATGGGATCTTTAGATTCCATAGCTGATTTAAACTTCTCAATGCACTGTCTCTGAAGACATTCCATGGTAATAACTTCTGGACTTACAGACAAAATAAATACGGTGATCGCAGTCAGCAGACTACTTTCATCCAATTCTTGACCAGCATCATCTACCAATAATAAGACATTTTAAAATATCTGAAACGAGACTAATGATAACATCAAAAATTAAAGTCAAGTTCTGATATGGTTTTGAACCCAACTGTATAAGAAGATATTACTAAGCATACAGACCATAATTGATGCCAACATTTCTGTTGCTAAGCAAGACAATTGTTAAGTGAGTTGCGCCCCATTTTACAATCATTTTTGCTGTAGTTGTTAAGCAAATCACTGCAGCTGTTAAGTGAATCATGCAGTTGTTAAACAAATCTGGTTTCCCCATTGACTTTGCTTGTTGGAAGCCATCTGGGAAGACTATCAATGGTGATCACATGATCCCAGGACAATGCAATTGTCACAAATGCATACCAGCTGCCAAGTGTCCAAATTTTGATCATGTGATCATGGGGATGCTACAACAGTCGTAAGTGTGAAAAATGGTCATAAGGCACCTTTTTTCAGTGTCATTGTAACTTCTAACAATCACTAAACGACTAAGACTACCTGTATCTATGATGTCTAATGCATACTTGTACAGGTAGTCTTTGCTTAACAATTGTTCTGTTTTAACAACTGTTCAAAGTTACAATAATGCTGAAAAAATAACTTCAGGATCAGTTGTTTCACTTATGACTTTTGCAATATCTCCATGGCCATCTGTTCAAGCTGAGGACGCTTCACAACTGGTGGGAATTTCTGACCATTGCAGCATCTCACAGTCATGCGATCCCCATTTGCATGCTTCATATCCAATTTCTGATAAACAGTGTCAGTGGATAAGCTGGCAGTAAAACCGCAAATTGCGGTCATACGATTACTTGCTTCATTACCATGTTGCTGAGTGACAGGATTGCTTATTTCACTAGGAGGTTAGGTAAAAGGTAAAGTATACGTGCGAGTCGTTTCTGGCTCTAGGGGGCGGTGCTCATCTCCATTACAAAGCCGAAGAGTCAGCGCTGTCCGAAGACGTCTCCTTGGTCATGTGGCCGGCATGACTAAATGCCAAAGGTGCATGGAACACTGTTACCTTCCTACCAAAGTGGTCCCTATTTTTCTACTTGCATTTTTACGTGCTTTCGAACTGCTAGGTTGGCAGAAGCTAGGACAAGTAACTGAAACTCACTCCGTTACGCGGTGCTAGGGATTCGAACTGCCAAACTGCCGACATTTCTGATTGACAAGCTCAGCATCTTAGCCACTGAGCCACCGCATCCCCAATACTAGGAGGTTAACTAGGAGGTTAAGCAAGGACTAAATATAAAATACTATTGAACTATTTTAATGTCAGGCAATAAGACTTTTTAAAAATAAAATGCTTATGTTTTAATATTGTATTAAAGCTGTAACTGCAAAAACATTTTAAAATGGTATAATTCCAATAACACGTTAAGAGATTGAAGTGATGCTCCTCTGCTATATACTAACCACATGGGGGCAGTGGCGTGTAAGTGGAGAATTAAAACATTTACTTCCTGTTCCTATTGTCCAATAGATTGCAAATCTCCATGACCTATAGAGTACAAAGTAATAGAGTTGGAAGGGACCTCTCAGGTCTTCCAGTCAAACCCCCTCCAGACAAATGGCTTTCCAATCTCTTCTTAAAAACCTCCAATGATGGAATACCCACATGGAGGCAAGCCGTTCCACTGGTTGATTGTTCTCACTGTCAAGAAATTTCTCCTTAGTTCTTTCTGCCTTCCTTCTCTGATAAACTGAGCAGATACTCTTTGATATGGTTAGCCAGGTGCCAGGCTTTACCTATTATTCTGATCTACTCCCTGTACATAATTTACTTTGTTACAGAAAATCTTAATAAGAAAAACTCATATACACACATTTTAACCTCCAACATTTACCATTTCTACTGCTGTTGGAATGCCAACATTCTTAATAGCGCAGCATCTCTATCAAAACAACTTCAGTTGGCAAAATAATGTGCTTAAAATTCTTCAGATTGTTTCATGCAGGCAATCTTCCCAACAAAATCAGAATGTCATGCATAGTAAATAAGAAAACCAATAGTCAGATTTAAATAACAAATGTATTTTTTCTAGGTTTTTCTGCTAATAAGTGAATAAATTCTGGATTCACAGTCTTAAAGCTTCTAAAGATTTTCTATATGTGAAAGAGATTAAATTGATTGCTGGATATCTAAACTTTGAGAAACGTTTATTCACTGTATTTTATTGGGACCTATTATTTCTTGCAATGTTCAATGTCGAGAAGTCCACAAATTTGGGGAGGATCTCTCCAAATTTGTGGACTTCTCAATTCCAATTCTGTGCTTTTCTTTACAGCTATGAACCTGCTACATTCAACATTGCAAGAAACAACAGGTCCCAATAAAGTACAGTGAATACCTAACCCAGTTAGGATAGGCAATTTGGAATTAATGAATATGCCAAAGTTGGAAAAAGAAAATGGAAAAGAAATATTTGTGGCACAGTTTGTGCAAGCTAATATTCAAATAAAAATAATACTGTAAGGGAATGCAAGAAGTGAACTCCATTAGGAAAGGAACAAAACAGAGGTTATCAGCATAGAAAAGGGCAAAGAGCATGTTTGCTGCAAAGAAGAAACTTGCACCCTCCAGGTAACTAGAGTTGTTTTTAAGCAGCAGTAGCTAATTATTTTGTGCCCAAGTAGCATATTACTAATCTGAGTATGAAATTATTTCTTATGCTGTATATGATGCTTATATCATATAAAGTAAACCTTTTTCTTCCTTATACTGTACCTTGATCCCAAAAATTAAGAATGGTGACCAGAGCACTACGGAGCAATTCATTCCAAGCCATTTGGCTCTTCTCTGCCCGAGCCATGGGTGATGACAGGACTCCTTTAAGAGCTTGCAGTGATGCAGCAACAGTCATGGGTAAATGGCCACTGGATAACTTCACAGCAGTTTCTCTGAGGACTCCAATAATCAGATATAAGATTGTGGGAAGAACAGCAATGCTTCCTGAAGGATATAGCAAATGCATGGTATAAATATGATTGCTGAAAATCTTACAGCATCTATTGAACAAAACTTGAATTCCATATGCATTTATTAGTACTCCATTATTTCAAGCTCAGTGTTGTATTTAATAAGAATTGTCATTTCTAAATTAAGCTTCAATTTAATGCTAACACAAATATTTGAGATGAGATTAATTTAAGAAAAAATAATCACTCTGCAACTAACATATAACATAGAGAAACTCTTTTACTGGTATTTATTCAATCACTGACCAATATGAAATATTTGGAATTAGTATTAATTAATAAAATTGATTCAGATGTCAAGTGCTGGCAAAGAATATCTAATATTTCTCTTCTACTTTGGTGAAAAAAGAATCTTCTTTTTTAAAAATAATTTTCAAAGCACCATCTTTTCTGTTTTAGGTTACCACTGGACTTCAACCTCTAATAACTTTAGTGAGAATGGCCCAAGCTAAAGGATGTTGGAAATAACATTTCAATTTCTGAAGAGCATAGCTTCCCATTGTTGGCTTAAACCAGGAGTGTCAAACTTGCGACAACACATTGTCGTCACGTGACATATCACAACTTTTTTCCCCTTCTCTAAAATGGGTGTGGGCATGGCCAGAGCGTGATGCATCCAGGCCACAGTGGGCCATGAGTTTGACACCCCTGGCTTAAACTTATTCAAGGTGCTCCTTCACTGCATAAATATCTTCAAATATGTAAATTAAAAAAATTGTACTGAAAGCATGCAGTAATCACCTCCATCCATCTGCATCAGCCCTCTATAATTAGGAAGTCGTAAATATAATGACAACAGATCAATAGATAGTTCCTACAATTAATCTGCATAAAAATGCTGAACCCATTGGTTTAAATTGTGATTTCATTCAGTGTATCTGATATAATAATAATTTTGTCACTCCTACAAAATCTGAGTTGAAGGAGACCGAAGGGAACGTCATACTTTAAGGATTCCTCTTTGTCTCTTTGGTGTGCATTGACATTATAGTATATAATGTCAATGCACACAATTGACATTATAGTATATTATTTTTATTTGTTTTGTAAAATTCACTGTGAATCTATTATGGAATGCTTATGGCAGCTAGAGTTGGAATCTGCAGCTAGATAGTATGCAGAACTGATTTAGGCCTTGGTGTTCTCTGAGTTTGGTTATTTTCTTGCAGATGTTTCATTATCTAAACTAGATAGCATCATCAGTGCTAATATGTTACCTAGTTTGGGTAATGAAATGTCTGCAAGAAAACAAATCTCAGAGAGTACCAAACATTTCCCATTTCAAACCTGAGCTACAAATACTTTATTAGTATACACAACTGTTACGTTCCATTCAAATTGTTATATTCTAATAATCACACAAAAAGATAATTCTAAATACCATTTTAATTAATAATTCTATATGTTAAGAGTCGACTTCCATAAGAATGCTTTTGCATGAGATGACTAAGTCAGAATTGTGAAAGATCTGTTTTATTTATTAAAATCTTTTATTGAGGTTTTTTTAAAGCATACACCAATTGCTTGAAGTTATGTGAATTTACTGTCTTGCACTGTTTTAGTAGCAATAGCACTTATATACCACTTTACAGTGCTTACAGGCATCTCTAAGTGGTTTACAGAATAAGCACATTGCTCCCAACAATCTGGGTCCTCGTTTTACCCACCTCAGAAGGATGGAAGACTGAGTCAACCTTGAGCCTGATGAGATTCGAACTGCCAAATTGCAGGCAGCCGGCAGTCAGCAGAAGTAGCCTGCAGTACTGCACTCTAACCACTGCGCCACCATGGGTCATAAATAAGTAAATTGCTTTCAATTCACAGAATAAGGAAAATAAATTAAGGTCCTTCTCAGTCTGTGCTTAAATATATCCTTTTTACTTCACATATTGCTGTTTATTTCTTTTGCAGAAGAAATTAAAATAAATACAAATTCTGTAATGTATAGCGGAATTTCATCCTACCTTCTGGTGAACAGACTGCAGGAACACCAGAGAGGATTCCCAGGGCTGCTGCTACCAATCTGTTCCCGTCTGCTGATAACAACTGAGGTTTTCCAGCTGTAATTCCAGGGCTACCTGTTATCTTCAGGTTTAGCTGAGGTAGCTGCCTTACAAGAATACACACACACATTTCCAGTGTTGCAAAGACTAAAGACTTTCCTGGTATAAGTCCTCCTGTATCTTTGCCTTCTCCAAACTCGGGCAATGTCTCCTTTTCTTCAGCCCCATCATCAACTATAGTGAAGTAAAGAGTAAATATTATGTTTTATTGATAAAAAAAAATCTTCTTTGAAGCTTCTTAAATAGCTTCTGGTTGCAGTGTTCTTATTTGTTGGATAGTATACATCCCCTATAACCTGATGCAGCACGGACAAGCTGCACATTGATCTGCTGTATAAATAATCTATGCTATTAGAAGAACTTGGAATACTGCATCCAGTGTTGATCACCATGATATAAAAAGATGTTGAGATTCTAGAAAGATTGTAGAGAAGAGCAACGGAGTTGATTAGGGGCCTGGAGACTAAAACGTATGATGAACAGTTGCAGGAACTATCCAATGAAGGACTAGGAGTAACATGATAGCAGTCTTCCAATATTTAACGGACTGTCACAGAGCCGAGGGGATCAACTAATCAAAAGCAACTGAGGGCAAGACAAGAATGGATGGAAGCTTAATAAAGAGAAATCCAACCAAGAACTAAGGAGAAATTTCCCGCCATTGAGCATAATTAATCAGTGGAATTGCTTGCATTACTAGAGGATTTTAATAAGAGACTGGACAGCCAGATAAATGGCTGCTGTGGGTGAGAGGATGGTGCATAAGGGGCTAACACAGCATAAGGGCCCTGAGTCTTGCAGTGACTGCTGCCGGGCACAGATTTATCCGGCCCACGTGTGGCCTTCCTTATCAGCTTTGTTTATGGGAAACTGGCAGAGAAGGTCAGAAATGGTAATCACATTATTATGGGATGTTGCAATCATAGGTGCACTCCGGCTGCCAAGCACCCAGATCATGAATAGATGACCTCTGGAGTGCTGGCACAACCAGAACTTTAAAGTTCAGTTATAAGTACCATTTGTCCAGTGCCCACATAAATTTGTGAGGATTATCTATAGAGCTGAAATCTGCTCCAGGAAAGTATCTGACAGCATGGATAAAGATCTCATTTACAAGATACTGCAACATTTGTTATTATTTAAAATACCCCCTTTATGTAAATGGCATTTTAAAGGAAGTAGGTTGTCATCAGAGGTGGTATTCAGCAGGTTCTGACCAGTTCTGGAGAACCAGTAACAGAAATTTTGAGTAGTTCGGAGAACTGGCAAATACCACCTCTGACTGGCCACGCCCCCTTCTCTTCTTTGCCTCCCGAGTCCCAGCTGATCGGCTGGGTCTTCTTTTGTTGCCCTGCACAGGAGAAGGAAGCTGGAAAGCAGGTTAGTGGGGTGGGGAGGGAATGGGATTTTGCAGTATCCTTTTCCTGCCATGCCCACCAAGCCACACCCACCAAGCCATGCTACACCCACTAAGCCACACCCACAGAACCGGTAGTAAAAAATTTGAATCCCACCACTGGTTGTCATCTCTGCTAAATGCTAGAAATTAATTTTGTAAAGATGCTGAGAATTCTTTGTTGAACAAAGCAACAATTACAATATCCACAGTTACTCATAAGAGAAGCCACATCATTTTGTTTGGAACTATAGGATAAAATAGAATGCCTTTTGTTAAAATTAGCTGTAGTCATTCTGCCAAATCCTTACTACACTTAAAAGATAAGAAAATTATAGAAGTAAAAAAAAAAATCGATTTGTTAAACTACTCTCTGCTAAAATTACCACCACCACCCATCCTACCCTCAATATTAATCTGAGACAAATACAGAAATTATTCAAAATCATGAATACAAAATATACTGCTGTGAGTAAACGAAGCATTTCTTTCATCTAAAATGAAACAACTGTCATAAGAAGTTCGATCAAGTCTGTTATATGGCTCTACCTTCTGCACTTCTCCGTTTTTCCTTGACATGCTCCTGTGCTGCGAAAAGAACCTGTTGGACAACTTCTAGAGCAGCCAGTTGAATGTCTGGGAACTCTCTGGTCAGTATAAGTCGATGTAAAACATTCAACAACTCCACACTCAGTTCCTATATATGGGAAATACAGCAGACTGTTTACTTAAGTTTTAATACAGTATATTTAATACAATTAAGGTACATTAGAATGAATGGAAAAGAATTGCCCCCAAACACTTGTTTCGATTCAAACCTGAAGAATTCATGTTTTCAGTGTCAAACCCTATTAAAACCCTAGAATACATGTTGTGTTAAGAGATTTTTTCATGCCTTTCCATAGGCACAGATTTTAAAAATAATTTTTCATCTTCTGTGTAGTGCGTTCAGTGGAAATACAAGGAAGAAGTGTCTGAAGGAAAAACAAAGGCAAAGTTTTTAGCCTCTGCTTTTTTTTTAGTTCTTAAGAGGAAGATTGCAGGATTCTATGCCATTATTTATTTTATTGTTCACTGCAAATTTCAGCTTCACGATATTGGGATATTCATGATATTCATGATATTGAGAGTCAAAAACCATCAAAATAAAAGGGACTCAATACTGTAGGTTGTCCATACTTGGCCTAATTGCTTTCCTGTTCCTGAACAGATTTTATTTCTCTTCCCATAGTCCAAAAGTAACTTATAATTCTTCTCACTATGTCCCAGAGAATTATTTTAAGACAGAACAATGACACTTTAATACGTACCTGTTGAAGTTATAAGAGTAGTAAAATTAAAAGAAAAATATGCAAGCCATACAGCTATATATTTCATAACAAAACTGGAAATGCATAGTTTTTTGAATGACTAATGAACAAAACTTCTGTTCTTGATACAGACATCGTGGATCCATGTATAAGTGCCTTCTTATAGTAGATGTCCCATATGAGTTTATGAATTATAATCATTACTACATTAGTAATTAATTATACTCTGCCCATACTTAAAATTATCGACTCCCCTACTGATCACAGATGATAGAAAATACAGTTGAAAGTGACTCTAAACTGGATACAATTCCTACATAAATTACTTTGTCATAGAGACTATTCAAATAGCTGTCCCATTTTGCCCATATCACCAGGGAAGAGAGACATAAGTTTCTACAGACATTTGGCAAAAGCATTCATAATATCCAGCTGAACTAACTCAGAAGTTTTGAATGTTACCTGATCACTTCCAATCTTAGATCTTGGCCAGGGAACTTCAAGCAGGACCCGCAAGGCATCCAGACAAGCAATAATGTTTTCCATCGCTTCATCTGACCGGGGAGAACAGAGAAATTCCACGCTAATTCCTAAAGAAAATGGAGTCAGGGAACATTAGATGAATTAAACATAAAGTTTAAAAGTATAAAATTTATATTTCACTTTTAATTGAGAAAGCAAACTGCTGATACCACTAATTAAAATGAATTACAATAACGTCACTGTCAATGACATTCCCTTAAAATGCCCACAGTGCAGTCAGAACAATCAGAATAATGAATAGAAAAGGTGTAGCATGAAGTTGAATTAGTGACATGAATGAATTAATAGCACATTAGTTGGCAGAAAAATCCAGATGTTGGGTTCCTGAGCTTAAATTGGCCTTTCTTGTGCAGCCTATCGAAACCGCTTAACCAATGTTATTTTCTTAATACTTTAGGGCAGGGGTTCCCAACCTGGGGTGCTTGCACCCCCTGGGGGTGCGAGACGATATTCCAGGGGGTGCGAGAAAAGTCCAGGTAAATAATAGGATATTGGCTATATGTTGGCATTTTTATTTATTATTTATTTCAGGGGGTGCGAGGTTCGAGTGAAATTTCTTTAGGGGTGTGGGGCGAAAAAAAGGTTGGGAACCACTGCTTTAGAGGATAGAATAAAAAAAAGGTACTTTGTAAGATATCCAGGTTTTAAACATAGTTAGACTTTTGATATAGGGAAAAGTCATTCTATTTACAGTAATTGTAAATAGAATTGTAATCTATTTAAACAAATTGTTGTAAAAGAGCCCAGATTATGCACCTAATTTTTCATAGGAAATGTACAGTACATTTGAAAGAATGTATTTAATTATTTCATTTAAAAGCTGCCCAACTCAGAAACATTAATGCTCCTAATTCACAAATCAGAGAATTACTAATTCCGCCTCTCTTATCTTGCCAGGATTTAGCCTCATTTTACTGCACTTCATTCAGTCAAAATAATATATACAAACGTTCATAAACAAAAATCAGACACAATAGCAGAAATTCAATTACAAGCATGTGTTCTATGTGCCCAAAAGTCATTTGTCTGACTCAGAAGAATCGATCTTCTGAACTAATTTCATGCACAAAGGTCTGCAATTGTTCTTGATTTAAGCATAACAGTTCATAGCAAATTTCAGTGAACCTGGCAAAAACTGTCATGAAAAATATGACAAAGAAAAGTTTACATACTTACTAACCCAGAACAAGATGAAGTCTATCAGTATTCACATCTTCAGGTGATTTTACCGCAGCCCTAGAGGTAGAATCTTGACACATACTAGTTGGCGTAACAGGTCGTGAAAGATTAGTTAGACCTTCATCTGAATCACCAACCAGAAAACCAGTGCTAGTAAGCCATAATGCAGTAGCATGAAGAATCTGAGCCCAGGCGTTTTGATAATGCGGTCTTGCATTTTCAATTGTTTCTGCAGTATAGAAGGCACCACCTACAAATAAAACGATACATATTCAGTTTGCTTCAAATCCCTCCAAATATTTGTAACAAGGTGATGAGAAGAGTCAGAGACATGATTTCTATCATTCAAAAAACAAACAAAACTTTGGCAGCTTCTGTTGATATATCTTTCATTACTCTAAAAGTTTATGTTTTATTTTTGTCCTCTGTTTAGTAGCTATAGTGCTTCAGGAAATGAAGCTCGATTTCTGCAGAATCTATACCTGCCAAATGGATTCAATAGAAATATTTGCTTTATTTGACTTCTTACCTTCAGAGGGAAGTTGAGAAGCAAATTCTGAAGGCAAAGTTAAGAGAGCAAAATCCTGAAGTGCAGCAAGCCAGAGTTTGCTCAGATTCCCTAGATCCACTTGGACTAAATCCAGAAGTTCATCCACTGAAGAGGATGGATCCAGGAAACTTTCCTCTGAAATGTTTTTAACCAAAGGTGGACTATTGATGTCATTTTGTTTCTTCTGTCTTTGTGAGGCAACTATATAAACCTGTTTGAAATAAGAAGAGCAAATGGAACTTTAAAGTTCTTACCAAATAGAAAATTTGAATAGAAAAAAATAACACCAGTTATGGTACTCGAAAAAAATTGCCAGCTGCTGGTAAGCTACAGTAGAGAAAGGTTATTGCTTTCAAGCTGTTTATTGGTTTTCATGAAGTCATGATTTGTTTGTAACATTCTAACAGTACAACAAGCTCAAAAAACCGATGACCATACCTTTCTAATATTAATAACAATAAAAGAATTAATTCATGTTCACAGGAGCTGAATTATTATTGTTTTTATCTTGCTAAAGAAAGCAAGAAGCTGATTTGGTGTAATGGTTAAGGCAGCTGGCTAGAAATAGAGAGAGACTGTGAGTTCTAGTTCTGATTTGGGCACAGAGCCCACTGAATGACTTTGGGCCAATCACTCTCTCTAAGCTCTAGGAAGCGGGCAATGGCAAACCACTTCTGAAAACTTGCCACGAAAAGTACAGGAACTACTTTATATTTCGGACTATGACTCCCCCCCCCCAAAAAAAGTGGGTGGAAATGTCTGTTGGTGCGGCACCGATCAGCTGTTATAGGCGGCAGGGATCACCACTGTCCCCTATCGCTGCCACCCGTCCACCGCCGGAGATTGGCAGTGAATGGGTGGCTGTGAACAGGCGGTGGCGAATGGACCTGAGTGAATGGGTGATGGCAAACGCACCGCAGTGGTGGTGGCGAACAGGTGGCAGTGGCGAACAAGCTGTGGCGATCCCCGCTGCCTAGAACAGCTGATCAGTGGTATTCCTGGAAGCAAATCCAATCACCAATCAGCTGCTTGGCTCAGCTGACCGAGCGGTGGTGGTTGCAATGAAGTGGAGCCCTGATGAGCCACATGCTGGGGCTGGGATAATGTGCTGAAGCTGACCAGGCTGTTTGCTGTAAGGATGCTAGACAGATGAATACCGGATGGATGCTGGGAGACAGGGGCAGATTTTTTTCCCCTTGTTTTTCTCCTCTAAAGCTAATGGGCATCGTAAACAGGGATGGGATTCTAACAGTTCGCACTTATTCACTAGAACTGGTTGTTGACATTCTAAGCAGTTCAGAGAACCGGTTGTTAGAAGAAATTACTGGCCTAGTCCTGCAAGGAAGGCAGGAAGGAAACATTCTGGTGTTGCTTATAGAAACTGCCTCTCCGTTAACCCTTATTACATTCTTGGCAGGACTAGACTTCCTGTCTCTGGAACTTCTCTGGAGTTTTTCCCCCCTCCTTTGCTTGTGTGGAGTGACCATTCAAAGTTACAATGGCACTGAAAAAAGTGACTTATGACCATTTTTCACACTTATGACTGTTGCAGCATCCCCACAGTCATGAGAGGCCAGGCGAGGAGATGGTGCCTTGATGTGAGTGATATTGAGTTGGCCACGCCCAGCCAATAACATGACCACCAAGCCACGTCCACCCAGTCACATGGCCACCAAGCCACACGCACCACCTAAGCCACGCCCACAGAACCGGTTGTTAAAAAAATTGAATCCCATCCCTGATCACAAAGTCTGGAGCGTCTTATAGTCTGAAAAATACAGTAATGTCCAGGCAGTCGTCAGGACTCAACACTGATTTGAAGGCATGCATACAAAGCAAAAGATAAGAAATCCAGCTATTTCTCTTATTTTTTCTGAGACAGATTGGATTTGCCTGTCATTAAAGAATGAAAACTGACACAAGTAATGCCAGAATAGACAAGTTGGAAAAGATCCAGGATACTGTTTTCTCTGTTAGTAGGAATAGAATTTCTGTAAACAATAACAATGCTTCTTCTGTTGTTGTACACTGTTGGGCAAAAGACAAGGGAATTGTATTTCCAACAAAAGGCTTTAATTTATACTGCATACGTTTAATGTTAAAATAACATTTCATTGCATATAATAGATAATTTATATATGTCTAACCCTATTAAAAATAGCATGCATTTATTATCCCAACTTGACAACAAATAGTAGATAGGGTACTTCACTTGAAAAAAGCTCTTTAATTCCTAAAGGTATTATGTTAAGATTAATTTTTAGCTAAGAAAGTTATTGTAAAAGGCCTAGTTTGAAAAGAAATCAGCCTCTAATTCCAGTTTTTAAACTGATAGGTTTTTTTCCATAATTATTAATTCCAAAGCACTGATGAAATCATATTTGTTAAAAAAATACCTCTGCCCAAGCTTTTAGTACAGCAAGTATTTCCATAGTAGATGTGCCTTCATTGTATAGTTGATTTTGTGCTTCTTTTCCAGCCTGTACTTTTGTCAAGGAAGTCACAAGCAAATGATGAACTCTTTGAAGGTCATTAAGATCATTTACTACACCACTTGCTATCCAAGCACTGCAAACCTACAAAACCAAATGATGTGGTTACTTTTTCTCTAATGCAATAAACTCTTTTATATTAGTTACTGAAAAATATGGGTGGTGCTATCCTCTTGTCTTATGTCCTATTTGTTGGGTTCTAGTTGGTTACCATGCCTACAAAATGCTGGATTAGATGGGTTTATTTGCTCTGATCCGACTTTCTTGTTATTTCTAGTGCAATTTTACAGAGCATGCGTGTAAAATTATCGTACGTTTAGATATTTTGACTAATTTATTTATTATAAAGTTTTCCAATATATAATCCCTTCATGAGGGAGATGGGTGGTTCTTAAATATGATAAATAAATAATAAAAAAACATAATTATAATTCCTTTAATCTAAATTAAACTAATTTCTACAAATGAACTGACTGAAGGAGTTATTAGAAATAATTCTAAAAATGAATAGCAATAAAGACAATGAAAAGCATATGAATAAGTGGCATAAACAATCCTCTTTCTGATCTAGTTTTTAATGAACAAATATTTCATCGTTTCTATTATCATGTTTTATCTGTGATTGGCCATGATGTAAAATGTAATTTGAGACTAACATTTTAAAGATAGTAGGAGGAGGAGGAGGATAGTGAGGGTCATTAGAAGCAGTGGGGAGAAAAAAATCAACTTGCCTGACATGCTTTTGCTGTTACATCAGGTGGTGTTTCTGAGGTAAAGGCTGGTCTAAGAGCAGCACCAACCTAAAAAAATGATAAAGATTTGATAAAATGATATATAGCCTAACATCTGAATAACTGTTCTTTAAGAAAGCTAACCTTAAAGTAGTTATATGAGACTGTTGAATAATAAATATTAATTTATTAAATATCCATCCATTTGTTGTTATAGTATTACCAGCACATATCCAAAGAAAACACATTTAGATTTATCAAATTCATACATTTTATGGCACATAATTAAACAGCCAATTCCAAAACACTAGAAATATTATTTTCTGTTATCTTAAATATTAAAAAGCAATAATATGTAACTTGGTCTTTCTTTTTTGGCAAACTCCTCTCAAAATTTACTTACATTGGCTTGGTATTGCTCCAGTATTACATGACCTGGGAATTCTGGCTCTACTACAGCAGCAAATTTTCGAATAAGAATTAACAACATCTGAAGTCCAGAAAGACGAAGTTGGTTGCTATGATCAGTGGCAGCCATAAAAGCCATACGAATTAAGTCAGCTAAATATAATACCAAGAAATCACCTGTATGTGATGAAAGGATAACATGAACTTAAACTTTGGTACTTTAAAAAATTTATGCCCATTACCTCTTCCTTTCCTACTGTATAATAGGAAAAGAAAAGTAGGACTAAATGGAGAATCTACAAAATGAAGAGATATTCAAGGTGAAGTTTCTAGAGATTGGTGTAAGATCAATATTTTTTTAATTTATAAACAAGAGATGTGGATAATAATGAAGTATATTGATCATACTAATGTGTTCAAGGTATTATGGTGCAATGAAAATAGGATTCCAAAGCATTACAAAGTATATATATAACTGGGTGAATTTGCTTCAAAAAAAGTATATGCAATTCCTGTAAATATAGGCATGGTGATGTACATTGACATAAAAAAAATCAAACTTTACATATTAATGGGCCCTGAGTTATAAAGGGTTTGATCAAAAAAGAGATTTTGAAGACATGATCCAAGGTCAGGGCGAAGCAGTGTTGGTCAGGCTAGAAGAGACATGCTTAGAAACATTTTCAAAGGAAATAAAAAGGCAACATATAGTATAACAACACTCAAACAAAACTTGATAATGCAATTCTCCTTGGCATACTGCACATTGTTCTGATAAACACAAAGAAGTTTTGAGCTGGAAAAAAAGTGTAAAAACAGGCCAACCAAAATAAATAGGAGTCTTAATCAGATTCCCTAGAAGGAAAGTCTGGGACTTTTAAGCTCAGAGCAAAGGGGGGGAAAGGGAAGACATGATAAATATATATATAATCATATTTAAAAGCTAAAAAGAAATTGATAATATTTAAGTGGGAAGATCAGGGATTAGCAATCCTACGAATGGTATGTTTTAAATAGCAACACTTAGAAAGCAACACCAGTGGATGATTTTACATTTTTGTGTTTTCTGAAAGTATCTAGTTGTACATTGGTATAAAAGGCTTACCAACAGGGTAAGGTATTTTCTTACCCATCTATACTGAAAGTTAGAATTGGCTGTAACAGTAAATCAAAAATTATAATTGTAGATTGTCAAACTTTTGTACAGTACATACATCTGTGACTTGTATTTTCAGATTACATTCAGCGTACTATAGATGAACAATTTATTGTGGAATAAAATTCTGGGGAATATAGTTCACATTTGTCTAATGTTCAGAGCTGTCATATATGTCCAAAGATAGAGACCCATATAAATAATAAACAGTGTGTCATGAAATGTAAAGATTACAGCCTTTAATAAAATAGGTGGGCAGTCTATCCTTTGTCTTTAGAAGTGCTTCACAGAATTGTTTCATTGAGCCAAACAGTAGTAATTTAGGTCTAAAAGCTCACAGACTTCTTGTCAATTGTGATAAAAGTGATAAGGAAAGTGGTTATTCATCAAAATTAAATGTATCTGTGCTTTGAATTCCATGACATTTCCCAGTTGATATTTAAGTCAACATCAGCACATACCTCTTGAGTCCCTTTGTTTCATTTCCTGTGCTAAAGCTATGTCAAAATGAGCACCGCCCGCATTCTCACACTGGGTGATAATTTTACAAACACATTCTGCAGCAAAAACTCTAGTAGACCATCGGGGATGTGGGAATGGGTGCAATTTATCCTTCTTTGCCAAAGTTAATGCCAATTCATCATCTCCTTGAGTACCCTCTTCTTCTTGGCTTGTATCCACTGAAGATACAGCTGTAAAATCTGCATTGAGACACAAAATGGAAAGCAAACTGTTTACTGAGCTTGCTCACATGGTTAAAATAGCAAGATGACAATGAAGTTATAACCATGAAAAGGTCAGGGTGAATAACCAACCAGATGTGGAAGGAAGCAGGAAATGGAGAGGCAAATGAACGGGAAAGGAAAAGGTATTTAAGTTGCTATGCTTCCTTATAATGCAACTGTTTCTTCTGATGCTAAAAAATACTAGGAAGCCTTAAGATTAAAAAAAAATCAACAATATTTAGATACTAATACCAAAAAGAACCATTGCACTGTCTTCTTGATAAGACCAGGAACATGTAAAGGGGTGGGAGTGAGGTTTGATAATGATCTTGGCATCCATACAGGCTGCAAAAGGCAGACACTATTTCAAATGTCTAGTGGCCAAAAATTTAGGGCTTCTTTCTTCCGTTTCATAATCCTCCACATTAGGTGACTTTATGAATCACATTATTTATCATATCCAAAATAAACTGAGAGACATCTGAAAGTCTCCACCAAGGAGGATATTGGAATAGATGACTCCTGAGATTTTTGCTAACTCTATGTTTCTATGGTTGCATTATTCTCTTCCTTGATGAAAATACCGTGACGTCTTTCTAGAAAGAAGGTATTAGCATACCAGCAGAAGCAGCCAGAACATCTTTGCAGAGTTTCAGCCAAAAGGAGAGTTTTCCAACAGCCATTGATATAAGCATATGGGTCAGAGTTTCTTTGATATCTTGGCACAGTTTTGGGTCCAATTCTTTGTCCAACAAACTCAGCAAAGCTCCTTCAAGGCCTATTTCACCTATATTAACACCTGCATTTTTTAGATAAAAAAACTGAACATGATGAGCACATTTCAATTCAATTCAAATAATGAATTATTGCCATTAAAAGCTTTCAAAATTACATACTGAAATAATTTTGATGCACCTTTAGAAGATAGCTGCTGATTAAATGTATATGGAGATTCTCAATCATTTACTGTAAGTCAGGGTTGTCCCAAAGGTGCTTTTTCCAAAAGGCAGCTGGGCTTTTTTGTGTTATTTCCCCCCTCCCCTTTGAGAATGTTTTGCTTCTCATCCAAGAAGCTTCTTCAGTTTTAAACTAAAGAAAGTTTACGGAGATTCTTAGTCATCCAGGTCATGGTTGTCCCAAAGGTTCTTTTCAAGAGGCAACTGAACTTTCTGGCTTTTTCTTTGAAGATGCTTTGCTTCTCATCAAGAAGCTTTTTTTCAATGAAAAAAAACCCCAGTTGCCTCTTGAAAAATCACCTTTGGGATAAACAGAAGAAACTTCTTAGATAAAAAGTGAAAACTCTTTCAAAGTAAAAAAATCAAGAAAGTCCAGTTGGAAAAAGCAGCTCAAGAATTACAGAACCGTACCTACTTACATGGCTAATGTATTACTCCAATTTTTCCTAGTATTGTTAAGAAAAACCCTTTAAAAATGTGGCTTAGTACCATCAAAAAAGCTCAGCTTTGTTTAGAAATACTACAATATCTTAAATTGACATATTGAAAAATTGTATGAGGTTATTTGGTTGTGTTTTCTTGATTAGTGCCAGGTCTATACATTATTTTTCTTTCAGCATCTAGATGGGATCTATACAAAGATAATCACAACAGACATAAAGCACATATTCAGAAAATAATCATAAGATTATGCTGATCTGTTTACCCAAACATCAGGCCACAAATCAGCATTAATACTGCTGACATATTCCAAATGAAGCATTGTTGCATAAATCCTTATTATTGCTACTGTGGTTTATTTCCAGTTAACTCCCCATTCCTATAGTTACTCCATTATTTTGATTTATTTTGTAGCAGAAATTTAGTCATGGATAGTTGCTGTTTCAACAAATCATGAGAGTTTCAGCCTAGGTTGCAACCTGAAGTGAGAAATATATTTCTGCAAGTCATTCCTTTGTTTGAAGATATAATATGAGGATTATGCGTAATTGCTTTATATTAAAAAGGGGTTTCTGATGCCGGGCAGAAAACATATCACCATTTCTGCAGTGTTAAAGGTTTGTTATATGATGGGTAAAACCCACTATGGGCAAACCCAATAGATTCTGTTGGTAAAACCTTTTATATCAATGAAACAAGGAATGGTCTCTCTCTTTTCTTTGCAGGACCTCAAAAAGCCACAAAACCTATTCTTGGGTTGAGTGATTCTCTTAGGAAAACCTAATAGGAAAGTGAAATGTGGAAATGAGAAGGAAAATAAGAAAGATTGTTGCCAAATGGATTTCAACTTTTGTGACAAATTGATTCAATCCTATGTGTCAGTGTTTTTCAAGTTCAGCAACTTTAAAATATATGGACTTAAATCCCCAGAATTGCCCAGCCAGCATGAAGTCCATATAACTGAAATTATTGTTGAGATTAAGAAACACTGCTATAGGCTAGTTGCTTAGAGCAGGTCTAAAGTGTTCCTCAGTATACAGAGTGAAAAATACAAATACTACAATGGCCTATCTGGGGGAAAATGTATCCTAAAGTTAAAGAGTTCAGTATTACCTGAAGTAAAGTCTTCTCTACCTTCTTTAGCGAGGGCCACTGCATGTTCAGATACTTCAACTGCCTCTCTCTGTACAAGCTGATGCAAACAAGCTAGAACTGCACGTCTCAATAATAGATACGAACTAGAGAGATTCACCTGAAAAGTATACACAAGAAACAAATTTAACAAATCAGATGGTATCCTTATTATTGGCATTCAGAGGCACACTCAACAGTAACTCTTCGGATTTCTAACTCTTATTTTTGATTAGATTTGGCAGAAGATTCCCAGTTATAGGCAGTTCTCGATTTACAATTGTTCATTTAGTGACAGCTTGCCCTACTGTTACAATGGCACTGAAAAAAATAACTTATAGCTTTTCATACTTATGACTGTTACAGCATCGCCAAAGTTATGTGATCAAAATTCAAGTGCTTGGGGAAACTGGCATGTATTTATGACAGTTGTGCTGTTCTGGGCTCATTTGTACAACCAAATGATCCCAGGACAGCTAAAATCAAGGGGGAAAACCAGATTTGCTTAACAGCTACATGATTCACTTAACAACTACAGTGATTCATTTAATAACTGTGACCAAAAAATGTTGTAAAATTGGGCAGAACTCATTTGATGACTCCCTTGCTTAGCAATGAAAATCTGGAGCTCAACTTTGGTTGTAAGTCAAGGACTAGCTGTATCCTACAACCTTCAATGCATAGAAGTACAATGTCTTGGACTTCCAATGGCACTTCCGTTGACGACAGACCAAAGACCGCGATCGTGCGCGGCTTCGATCCATGCTTATCTTGTTGGAGGGTCCTAACGGGACTGAATCCATCTGGGACATACCTCAGAGGGGTGGGGGAAGTGGGGGAAACCGCCAGCTGGGTCGAGGGGAGCAGCATCTCCCCTCTCTGACTAGGTATACTCCCCTTGAAGACAGGAGGTAGTGGCAGTTTTAAGGGCTGCCCTGAAGATGTATTTAAGTGTGTGCTGGAGCGGTGAAGTGATGAGTGGCGTGTAACCAGACAAAAGAACTTGGATTTTTTTTTGACAATCCCGAGAAACAGAAAGAAAAAGCCCTCGTTTAAGAGTATAGCAGCGGCGAATAGAAAATAAGACGAAAATATAAGGTAAATGAAAAACTGGATTATAAAAGGACAACAACGGAATTAGAGACTAAATTTGGAATAAGATACAGAAACTGGCATTAATTAGGCATTGGATAGAATGCTGGTCTTGCCTGGAATTGACTATATTTAAAAGAGCTAATGGTTGAAAATTAGTGTTAATACAATTGAAAAGAGAAAAAAGAACTTTGAAAAATGGAGAGAGATGTAGAGTGCCATCAAATGGTTAAAGGCACTTTTTCTCTTATGATTTCATAGAAAATAAATGTGTGAATGAGAAATGAAATGAAATAAAAGACTATATTACAACAAGAACCCCGGCAGCACTAAAAAGGGGGGAGATTGCAGCAAAAGGACAAACGAAGATAATACCTTGGGATTGTTTGATGTTATTGTGACAAGGAGACAGAAGGATTAATAAGAGGAATTGAGACAAATGGATATTTTTGGCCAGGATTAAAATAAAAGACTCTGACTTTTAATAAAATAAAGAATAACTCAACTGATTAAAAATGGAAGAACAGGCAAAGAATTTAAGTCGGAACTACAAACTGTGACAGGAATGTTAAAAGAAAGAATGGAATTATTGGACACACTGGCAGAAAAATTAATGGCAATACAATTCGCAGAAGAACAAAGAAAATTCAAGGAGGAGGAGTTAAAGGAAGAGGAAAGCAGCTTAGAAGAGCACAGAGAACAAGGGACATTGCCAAAAGACGTAAAAGGAATCAAAACTAAGACACTGATGATAGACGTAACAAATAAAAGGGAAAATACTCCCAAGATTAAACAAAAGAAGAAGCTGTACAAGAAGAAATTCCAAAAGAGAGAACAGGAAAGGGTGGGGGGGAAAAAGTGATTGGCAGATGAAAATAATAATACTAGAAGAAAAAAGAGGAGTAAAGAGGGAAAACTGGAAAAATTTAGAAAAGGGAAAGCTGGAAAAAATTACAAGAAATGATAAGGCCGAGAGATTTAGAGATAAGGGTTAAAGATATTATAAAGGGGGGATATCACATGGAAATGTACTTTGGTATTTTTTATTAGAAATATAGATTGGGGAGATTTGTGCTTTAAAACTTATTGGTAATTACCTTAAGATGATTATATAATTATATATGAGAAAAATGAAGATAGAGTGAGAGAAATTAAGAGGGCTTTATTGTTATCAAATCCAACTCCGAGAAGCACAAAGCCGAAGACACAAGCCTGAAGATGACAAATGAGACTTAGTCGAAATGTCGCCAAAATACTTCCAATTTTATGCGGGAGAAAACCCAAATAACCAAAGATCCACATACAAATACCCGCGAAAACCTCAGAAAACAAATGTATGTATGTATGTATGTATGTATGTATGTATGTATGTATGTAATTGATTATGTAAATAATATTAGAAAAACAGAGAACATGGTAAACTGGAAAAATATGCTATTATGACCAAAAATGTGATGACAATTTAATAAAACTTTATAGGTTAAACTTGGCTAAATGGAAACAAAAAGGAAACTTAATTCTCTCTCTTTTTTCTTTTTCTTTAGTGTATACATATTATATTAGACATAAAATAGAAAATGTAATTGATTATATAAAGGATATGAGAAAATAGAGAATATGATAAACCAGAAAGGATTATATTGGAATGTAAAGTATTTGTAATGAGAGTATTCTACTATGATTAAAAAGGAAGGGAATGAAAATTTAATAAAATTTTATAGGTAAACTTTAGCTAAGTGGGAACAAAAAAATATGAAATGGTTATATAAATATCTCTGGAATAAATATAAAATTTATTGTAGACTGGGGGATATACCATGTGGATCCTGAAAATATTAGTTTTATTTTATTTTTACTCTTTTTTGACTGTTTATTATATATTGGCTTTGAGAAAGTTAATGAAGATAATAATGAATAATGTAAAATAAAATAGGTGGTAAGCTGAAAATGGAAATAATAGGGGATAAAGAATTCAAAATATGTGAGGATGAAATGTTTTTGATATTGAATTAATGAATTGAAATATGAAGTGAGAACTCAAAGATCAGTGGAATAGATAATGATTTGATATTAAATTATAAGTTGGAAATGCAATTATGACTATGTATAAATGTTGTAACCTAGAATCACGTTGCTCACTTGAAGAGATATGTAAAAAATAAAAAAACTTTATTAAAAAAAAAAGTACAATGTCTTAAATAAGAATAAGCAACTCAGAAGCATTTATATATCTACATTCCAGATTTTAAACTCCAGGCATTGGGCTGAAATGGAGTTAGCGTCATTGGCTCTATTTTATTCGTTGTAGCCCTTACACAGTGGGAGGCAGGTGATACAAAGTTTACCTGATGTGTCTTTCTACCTTAGGATCCGCTTGTTCCTGCCTTACCAATATCACACCTTACCACACCTCCCCTTCTATTTTATCATACTTCCTCTCCAAATCTCTCCTTGTCATAAGAGAACAAGAAAGTATTCTGCCCTTCCTTTCACCTCCATTTCTTTATTAGCCTAAGCTGACAAGAATTGTTGCTTTCAAGCACCTCTTCCACTCCCCAACCTCCTTTTGAAGAAAGAAGATCAGAAAGTAGGGACATTTCCATGCTTTTTTTTTTTATCAAGGACCTTCCCATTCCAGAACACTTTTTCTCATCCTCAGGAATCTTTTGTTCCTCTTACAAATGATACAACTGTCTCCTGCTCTCTCCTAAAAAGAGTCTCTTTCCTCCTGTGAACTACTGGAAAGATGGCAACTTGGACTTGTGGAGACATTACCAATTTTCTGTCTCCAAAGAGTGTGACATGTTTGGACAGATCTTCTAATGAAGTAAAAGATTTCAGGCTTTCCCTCCTATACTGAGAGGCCAAAATACATTCTACCTTCCTCCCAGAGAGAGGCATGCACGGCAAAAACACCCAAGATACAAGACAAGGTGGAGTGGGGGAGACATTCCAGGGCGATTAGGGGATTCTGGAAAAGAGTTAGAAGCTATGGAAAAAAGTCCACAGGATTGACTGAGAAGAAACCGCAGCAGCCGGTCTTAGATCATTATGTACCAAGAAGAAATGGATGAAGGCCAGATGTGGGTTTCAGCAGAAGACAGACACTTGGAAGAGGCGTTAGCATAATGTGGTTGGTTCTCTCAGAGTTGCTTGAGCAGTTTAAAAATTTATCGAGAACATGCAAGTAAAGCTTTGCGTTGAGAAGTAATTTTTAATAGGTACAAATAGCTATAGATAGCCTAAAAGAGCAACATCTGATTCAAGGTTTGAACTGAATTACTCTATGTAAACTCAGCCAGTAAAAAGTTCAGGCAATTTACTTGCTGGTGGTTTAGATAACAACAATAGTATTAATGTAAAGTTTTGTCCTGTTTCCCCCCCCCCCTTCAATCCAGCTGCGGATGATAGGCAGAAGTGAGATTTTACATCTAATACTACATTAGACCTTTCCAAAAACATGCTGTGAATTGTGGGTGTCTGGCAGAAAAGAATTAATTGGACAAATCCCTGGAAATGTCATGCTGTCTTGGAAAAGGATGGGAAGGCCTTCCCATACTGGAGGAAGCCAGATCTATTAACAGCCAGTAATACTCTGCTAAGACCTGAGTCTGCTAGTATTTAAGGAGTAACCTGAACTTGGCAATATCGCTACAGTAATGACAAACTGAGATGGCCTTTGTGGATTCCAGTTCTAGAATTCTTCTGATTCTCTCTTTTTTAGTTCTTTTAGATGCTGTTTGCTTGGGGCATCTGCTTATACCAGTAGCCCTTAGCTTATGACCACAATTGAGCCCAAAATTTCTGTTATTAAGCAAGATAGTTGTTAAGTGAGTTTTGCCCCATTTTATGACCTTTCTTGCCACAGTTGTTAAGTGAATCACTGCAATTGTTACATTAGTAACACGCTTAAGTGAAGCTGGCTTCCCCAATGACTTTGCTTGTCAGAAGAATGCAAAAAGTGATCACATGACTTTGGGACACCACAGCTGTCAAAAATATGAACCAGTTGCCAAGTGTTCGAATTTTTATCACGACCAATGCTGCAGTGGTCGTAAAGTGTGAAAAACAGTCATAAGTCATTTTTTTTCAGTGCTGTTGAAACTTTGAAGGGTCACTAAATAAAAAGTTGTAATTGAGGACTCCCTGTATATGTATGAAAGGTGGGGTGATTTCACAACTATCAATTGTAGATGAACAGCTGTGTTGTCTAAGAGTATTGCAAGATGTTGGGCATCAACAGTCAGTCATTTAACAAATTTAAAAAGTCATAATTATGTTGCCATTTTCCAACACTGTTCTTCAGTCCTTATGCACCAGAAGATATTAAAATGAGATATTGAAAATTCTGCATTTAAAATATGCACAATTGTTGAAAAATAAAAATGCCTATTTTTGCTCCCAAATACATTAATCATCCCAGACTAATCACTGGGGAGAGATTTTTTTGGGAAAGGTGATATTAAGTGATAAAGACACATGAAGACTGCATACCCAACCCAAATCTTAAAAACTTATATTTAAAGTCATCAACCTTCAACTACAGCTTAGAAAAAAATCAACATTACATTTTTAAATAGTTGGGGACAAAACCCTGTTTACTATATGGATGCAGATCTGAAGACTCTGAATCTGAAATTAGTGATTACCAAATACAGAAAGCTAATGAAAAGCAAGCAGCAGAGAATCATGTCTTGCAGTGGTCAGGAGTGACTGAAGGCAATTATAGAATCCAAAGCAAGATAGCAGCAGAAGCTATGGCTGGCAAAAAGGGAAGAGTTTTGTAGCTGGGGAGACAACATCAAACCATAACATCAGGTTACTGTATAGGTTTTTAGGGCTTGTTTTGATGCTACCTTTTACTTATTCCTCCTCTGAACTTGGAAGTTCCATCTCATTACACCAATTTACACACTCATTAGGAGAAAATCACAGAGAAGCAATATGCCTCTAAGAATAAATTAAAATTGAAAGGTTCCTTTCTTCCAATAAATGTTATACATTTCTAAAAATGTGCAAAAAATAAAGCCAAGCACGGTGTAGTTAGTTTTCTCATGTACTACTAAATGCTTGAATAAGTAACATTAATTGAAGTTGGCTTTTTTCATGTACGAATGTGTGTATTTTGCCCTCATATGGTAAACTTTTGAGCTAATGAATGTTCAAATTTAATAGACACCCTCTTAACTATTAAACAAGTTTTACTTTAATACGTAATTCATGAAAATTAGGACATTTATAATTGGTGTCATAAAGAAAAAAAAACCTAACAGGGATACAGTATGTATCAAAATACATCGCAGGACAACAAAAACATTGCTTTTAGAATAGGCTGCCTAATGTTGTTGTGTTAACATTATTTTCAGCATTTATTAATTTATCAAATAATTTATTGAAATGAATTATTTTATTTAATTAATTTAAATGTGCTAATGCTATTCTTATTTTTTTATTTCTTCAATAGCATTTATATATCACTTGAACTTAAAATGTTTTAAGCTGCATACCAGATCATAATATAACATTAGAGGATTCCCCCACAAGTCCTCATAATGGGCCAGAGCCCGGATGTAATACTACAGTTTCCAATCGTTTTTGAAATGCCAGAAAAGAAGGGGCCAGGTGTATCTTTGGTGTGTGTGTTTGAGGTAGTGTATTTTATAACGAAGACTGCTACTGAGAACTGCCTTCTTACCTGGGTGGGACCTTATGACAATTATATGATAAATCCTAAGGAACACTCTTTTGTAACTCTATTTTCTATCTAAACAATATTAAATGACCACTTTTCAGGATTGAATCTGGGTGCTGAAAATGATAATTGGGAAAACAACTAATGAATAGAAAACTATTGCTGTTAGTTTTCTTTTTGATGTGCATGTGTCAAAAATGAATAACTTTAAGGTGGGTTTCTCATGCAAAAGTTGGGTATCTCATGCAAAAGTTGGACAATAGACGATAACAACCAGTGCTGGTTATTGAAAAATCATTACTGTGAAAGAGAGGCAAAAGAAGTTAAGAACAGACCTCAAGAGGGACTATGGCAGAATCACAATTTGATAATCAAATGAAATGTGATTTGATTTTCTATATTCTGTTACATGTACCCTAATGTGTATGTAAAGAAGTTGTTTAATAGGTACAAAAATACATTCTCATATTTCTAAAAAACTAACCTATACCGATATGCTCAACATTAACAATTTAAATACACAAATAAATATTTTATATATATAATCAAGCTGATGTTTCACTGTCTTGAGATTTAGGCATGCTTTTTGAAAAGATTCTTCTGCTTTTACATGAAAAAGCCAGAACAAATAAAGCTCAACTGCAAGACAATGCAAAATGCACATTTCCAATTTGTTTCATTCTTCATTATTTAAAAAAAAATAAGGAAAAAAAGCAACAAAAAAAAAAACCACAGAAAAAGCAAGCAATACAAATTATACACATAGACAGACAATTGAAACTCACTCCTTTTGCATTTAATATGCTATGTTAAAATAATGCAAAAATAAATTACACACAGTTTGAATGCCAGTTACAGTAAAAAGATGTTAAGAGAGAATTTAGTTCAGCTCAAACAACACATCACCCAACATGCTAAAAATATTTTGTTTTTCATTAATGGTTAACTATAGAAATAAAGGAAGAAATTAAAATGTACACACACACACAGACTGAAAATTGCTGATGTGTTAACAATGCACAAAGACCTACCAACACAGAATTTTCCAACAAGATCTCCTGCACAAAAACAAATAATAATCCAGTCATGATAAAAGCTAGATATTAGAATCCAGTGATCCTTACTTCGACAATACAAAATAATTTCACTGCATCACTTAATTACAACAATGCAGGAATAAAATATTTGCTTATTATTGTTTCATTATTTAATATATTATTTAAAATCAAGAATGCTATTATAATAGTTGTTCAAAGCCAAATATTACGTACTAATTTGAAAATATACTGGAAACTAGCTATATGTTCTTTTATTACATTATATTAATAATGTAAATCACTCTATGATGAAAATTCATTGGCCTCAGATCTAAAAGAGCCAATTTTGCATCAGCAGTGGCAAAGTTAGAGCCAGGTGGAAATAATATACTGTAATTTATATTTGTAATGTTGGATAATACATTCAAAAGTATTTAATACTGACTGTTATACCTTTTTACAACCAAAACCAGAGCTAAACAAATAGCCTCATCCTCATGAAGTTTAGTAGAGAAGTATGATGATTTCCAAAGCCTTTCCAAAGGCTATTTTAAAATCACTTCTAGAATTTTTTTCTTTAATATTATTTAGCTTCAGAATTAGTTCATAGCTCAAGAAACACTAATTTCAGTTTGATACTCAGAACATCAATTTTTAAATGGCAGATATGGCAAAAGTACTTACTACTGGACTCCATGCTAGCATAGGCAATACAGGTAGTCCTTGATTTACAACCATCTGTTTAGTGACCGTTCAAAGTTACAACAGCAATGAAAAAAGTGATGTATGACCATTTTTCACACTTACGACTGTTGCAGCATCCCATGATCACATGATCAAAATTCAGACACTTGGCAAATGACTCGTATTTATGATGGTTGCAGTGTCCCTGGGTAATGTGATTCCTTTTTGCAACCTTTTCACGAGCAAAGTCAAGGGGGAAACCAGATTCACTTACCAACTGTGTTACTAATTGCAGTTACTAACTGCAGCGATTCACTTAACAACAGTGCAAGAAAGATCATGAAACGGGGCAAAACTCACTTAACAGCCATCTCACTTTGCAACATAAATTTGGGCTCAATTGTGGTCATAGGTCAAGGGCTACCTGTATTATTTTCAAACCTCTTTGAAGAGCATCCACTCCCTTATATTCCCCCATAGTATTATACAGATATATCAACACCTGATAATATTTTCCTTCTGCTATCCATACGGGCCAACTTTTTGTATAAAAAACAAATGCATATTAGATATCAAAACACCCTTTTAAAGAAATGAGTGAGTGAATGTTTTGTCTCCCAGACTTAAATCTGTTAATAATTTATATTTCACCATACCTAATCCCTGCCACCTCCTCAAAAACCTTCACAGGGAGGCTGTTTTGCTGAATTATAATTATTCAATTTCATGGAATTAATTTTTGTCATAATCAGAACACTGAATTTATCAGGTATTAAGCTGCTTTGGTCGAATGGTTAAAGGCATCAGGTCTTTAAAGCAAGACTTAGCCATGAAAGCCAGCTGGGTGACTCTGGGCCAAAGTCATTCTCCTTCAGCCCAACTCACCTCACAGGGGAAATAGGGGAAGTAAGGTATGTTAGATATGTTCACCACTTGAAGTTATTTGTAAAAATAATGAAAGCAAGATACAAATAAATAAATAATTAAAACATTAAAAAATATCCCACGTCTGACAATTTATATTTAGAGAATGTATTTTCTTAAAAGATATCTGAACTTCAGTGAAAAAGACAGAATTCTTGATCCTGTTTTTTTTCTCTTCTATAAAATGTCCTTCACCAACTGGTAAATTAATTCAAGGTGTGGAACTGAAAAAGAGCATTTCACCAACTTTTAAGAGGTGTGCCTAAGTGAAATTCACAAACTGCTTGGTGGAGAGGAACTGCTTAAAAGAGTTCGTAATGAGTCACTGAAAAGTGGCTTTCTCTTCTTCCCATTGCACTTATGGATATGTGTATGACTGTGTTTGTGTATGTGCACAGTGTGTTTATGTGTGTGTGCATCAGTGGTGGGATTAAATTTTTTTTACTACTGGTTCTGTGGGCGTGGCTTGGTGGGCGTGGCAGGGGAAGCATACTGCAAAATCCCATTCCCTGCCCATCCCATTAACCTGCTTTCCAGCTCCATTCTCCTATGCAGGGAAACAAAAGAAGACCCAGCCGATCAGCTGGGACTCAGGAGGCAAAGAACAGATGGGGGCGGAGCCAGTCAGAGGTGATATTTGTCGGTTCTCCGAACTACTCAAAATTTCTGCTACCAGTTGTCCAGAACTGGTCAGAATCTGCTGAATACCACCTCTGGTGTGCATGTATGTGTGTGTGTGAGAGAGAGATGAGGAGAAGGAAACTGCAAAGAAACGAATGTTCCTAGTCATTTAGCAGTTCAGTCAAGTAACTAACTTCCTGTTTTTTTACCAACAGAGAATAACAATCCTGCTAGGCGCATTTTCTTTCATTTGTTCTACTTCTACCAAAACTAGCTGACCTGTTATAGCCTACCCCTGTCTTTAGGCAAACAGGAAAGAGACATTTTCTTATGGAATATATTCCTTCTCTCTCAAAATACTTTCCACGCTTCCACTACCTTCCTCCTCAATGCACTGAATTTGGTTCATTAAACTAGGAAACAAGACTCATATATGTTTTATGTGCATGCACACACATACATACAAACACATACCACACTATAGACACGTGTAAAGTAGAGGGTCATTTTGTGATATTGTGCTAAAATCAATCATGAGACTTAGCTAATATAAAGTTTATATTCACATTTCTGAAAGCAATGGATTGTATTATTTCAAAATATTCTGCTGAATTTGGTACACAAACTGCTCTTCTTTGAAACACTAATTTGAACATTCTGATTCTAAAGTTGCAAGTAACTCTGAAAAAATATGTGTAACATAGCTATATAACTACATAGTCGTATAGTTGTGTAATTATATACTTACACAAAGGCACTTGACAAGACTCGACAGGTTTACATGATGAGGAGCAAACATGTGAAGCTGCTGAAGGCAAGAGATAGCTTGAGCCTGGATGAGGCAGTCAGGATTTTCCTGCATCACTGTGCAGCCAAGGAGACAGGATGCCCTTAAGGCTACGACTGCAGCACTGCTGCCTACACATAAGGCAAAAAAGGGGAAATATGTTGCTCCTTTTATCACTTTCTTCAACAGCCGAAGAACATTTCAAAACAATAAAAAACCAAACTACAATAAAGACGTTTCTCAAATTATTAACATCTGTTTTTAAAATCTACTTAGGTCACGCTTTACTAAAAATATACACTTATTTCCACAGAACCTCTATTACATAGAAGGATATCAAAAGAAGGGAATATATGTAGTTAAGGAGTGAACTGTGGGCTCCTTGGTGCTCCCTGAACTTGGTGTTTGCTTGCAGACACTTCATTACCCAACAGGGTAATATCATTAGTGCTAGTGAATAGCTCTTAAGTAAACCACAGCACATTCATGAATACCAACTAGCAATCAAAACATGTGACAATAACTCTGTAATTTCACAGCACATTGGCAGAATCAATCATAGTTTCAACTGGGAAACTGATAGTATTCTAGGTCCAAAAATGCTAGGGAATTTCTGAAAACTTGGCACTCAGACAAATCAGCCATCATTAGACACATAAAGATAAACCACATTTACACAGCATTCAAAAGAGACAATAAAAAGCTAAGAAGGCAACAAAAAGACCAGAACACATGCTCTCCAGCATTCAACACCCAGATAAGCAGGTGTTAACATCAGGCAAACAAGCAGAAAACAACACCCTAATCAAGAAACTACCAAGGAGAAAACCCATACCCTCAACCAACATGGCTGGGCAAAAGCTGCTATATTTAAACAAGGAGTAAATGCCACATTGACTAAAACTGATGATGTTACCTAGATGGATAATGAATGTCTGAAAGCAAACAACCAAGCTCAGAGAGCAGCAAACGACTCCACCATGTAGAAACATATTTCTCCCAAGCGGGAGACCCTACACCATTTCTGACAAATAGCAGTCCAATCTCTTCTGGAAGGTCTCAAGTGATGGTGCTCCCACAACTTCTGAGGGCAAGCTGTTCCATTGGTTGATTGTTCTCACTATCAGAAAGTTTCTCCTTATTTCCAGGTTAAATCTCTCCTTGTTCAGTTTCCATCCATTATTCCTTGTCTGGCCTACAGGAGCTTTAGAAAACAGCTTGACCCCCTTCCCCTCTGTGGTAGCTCCTCAAATATTGGGAGACTGCTATCATGTCTCCCCTGGTCCTTCTCTTCACTAGACTAGCCAAGCCCAGTTCCTGTAACCGTTCTTCATCTGCCTTAGTCTCCAGTCCCCTAATCATCCTGGTTGCTCTTCTCTACACTTTTTCTAGAGTCTCAACATCTTTTTTATAATGTGGTGACCAAAACTGGATGCAGTACTCTAGATGTGGTCTTACTAAGGCTTTATAGAGTGGTATTAGTACCTCACTTGATCTTGATTGTATCCCTCTGTTAATGCAATTTACGATTGCATTAGCTTTTTAAAAATTTAAATATTTAAATATTAAAAATATTTAAATATGTTTATTCTCCACTCTCCTAATTATAATTTGTCAATAACTATTGAATACTAGAAGTTTCTCTATGAAGGAGGAAAAAAGAGCATTACTTTATTTCAAATTCTCAGATAAAAGTGTGTATAAATCACAACTCAGGTGGAAGTCAAATAAGATTGTGCATGACTTTGTAAAAATACAAATACTATAAAGCTTTTGTCATGGTTTCCCATGCTTATTTTGGTAGCAAATTAACTCAGTGATGATTACCTTACCTCCTAAGTATCATTTGTCAGAAATGTATGCATACCTTGCAACTCAGGACCCAAAGTGGCTATAAGTGCATTTAAACAGCGACCAAGGCTTTGATGGACTTCAGTATAAGCAGGAGGCACAGTCAACAACAACATAAGAACAAGAGAAAGGGTAGGTTCCACATGCACATGATATAAAGGACCAGCAGAATCAATAATCAGTGACAGAGAATGCAGTGCCCACATCTGTAAAATACCAAAAATGCAGTGTTGTCACACACAGGCACAGGCACAAAATGTGTGTAATGGGCATCAAAGTAAATGGGAAATAATTTGCTAAGTATGATAAAAACCAAAGTTAGGTGTAAAATAAAAGCATTTAATGAAATGGGGAGGAATATTATGCCAACAACACAATACAACATGTAAAATACATATACAGAATAAAGCCATCTAGACCATGGTTGTCCAATCTTTTGGGAGCTCTACTCTGCATATATCATCTTCCTTCAGTGTACTCACACTTGCCTAAGTTGGCAGCAGTATACATGTGGGAGACAAGAGAATGGATGTGTCTGTCACAGTAGCAATTGTATCACTATAAACTCAGGGAATAAATACTGTTCTTAATTATCTGAAATTCAAATTTCTAGCACATGCTGTATTTCTTCTCTCCCTGTTGCGGAAGAGGTGAATAAAAAGAAGGAAAAACAAGGAAGGAACTTTAAACAGGTGTCAGATCTGACACCTGT